GCCCTCCTCTCTCTCTCTCCTGAGTGTATGTGCCCTATAGCAAATTTACAAATAATAATAAATAAAATTAAATAAATAATTCTTTTAAAAATAAATAAATAAATCTTTAAAAAAATAAAGACACAGTGTGGATCAATGTATACAAATTTTTAAATACCAGTTATGTACTGTCTGTGGGAAACTCACCTCACCTATAAAGACAAATTTAGAATGATAATGAAGGGATGGAAAAAGGTATTCTATGAAAACAGAGAACCAGTTGGTAGCATAGTGGTTAAGGTGGCTGGATCCTATACAGCCAACTATGCGGTTTAAGGCACCCAGAGGTTGAGAAACTTGCCAGGCACATGTGCATACCTGCTCCAAACCCAAGAAGAGAATGGAGAAAAAGGGGTTGAGGCGTGACTAGTCCACTTGGAGGTGGGGGTACCTTCTCACTTTCCCTCTCTCTCTTCCCCTGCCTTTCTCTAGCAAGTGTACGTGCCCTCCAGTTAAATTTTTGAAAAAGAAAAAAAAGAGAACCATGCCGTTGTTCCTGCAGAGCTCCTCCCAGCTCCACCCCCTCCTCAATACCATCTCCTGGCTGACCCAAACCTTACTGTGCCTGCAGATCACCTCCGGGAGCCTGTTAAAGAGGTCTATTCTGGGATGCCCTCCCACTCACAGCCCAATGAAACCCCTAGATGTCTGCCACAGGACAAGCCTGTCCCTGGGATTCAGCACCAGGCTACATTCTGACTTTTGGAGACACAGGCCTCCTGGTCTCAGGTACCACTTGGTCCTGAAGGAAACTTCTCCCTTGGGCTCCCGTGGATTCTTAGGGCTGGCCTTGCAAAAAACTTGACCTTGGGTAACCCACTTAACTCTCACTGGTCTCCATTTCTCACCTTGTGAAATAACGATTCTAATAGCATCTCTGAGGGCAGTTGTGAGGGTTTTGTACCTGAACACATATTATAGACTATATATTGTAGTACAGTGTTCTCTCTTATTCTTGAAAAAGTTCACAGCACTTGGACCCCACTGAAGGTTTCCCTTTTGTGAATGTAGTGAAAATAATACCATCTTATGTTTCTTCTTTTCTTTCTTCCCTGAGAAAGAGACAGAAGAAATAGGCATCCCAACAGGGGTTTCACACAAAATCCACCCTCAGCCAGCCCAGACCACTGGAATTTGTATGCCCAACACATACAGGAAGGCCTCCATAGGTGAGCCTGGACCCTACCATATGGGTCCAACCTTGCAGAGCATTACGCTGCCTGCTGGCTCCAAGTCCAAATTTGTATCCAGACATTCTGAGTGATTTATGTGGTCTCTAATTCATGAGCTATTTCCTCTGTGAACTCTGTAAGATATTATTTTTATTTCTTTTCCACATAGAGAAACATATTGAAAGAAGATGATAAGTTGGCACAAAGTCACACAATAGTAAAAGCTAGAATAAAACCCAGGTCTGAGTAAACGAAAGTCTATGTGCTTTGCACATTACAAACGTGGATTTTTCCATTATTTCCATCCTTCAGTCATTAAGTCAATTTACTTTCAGTGACAAGCCTTAGGATCTATGAAAGCTGTTTATATTATATGTTTTTATCATCAGCTTTTGCCACTATTTTATATAAACAATTATTTTTATTGCTTAGGAATGAACCTCCCAGGGTGTGAAGATAGAGACTGAAAGTTGGTACTGTCCCTGGATCTTCAAATTCCTGGGGTGTGGGAAGAACTTCTGATTGTGAAAGGAAAGGCATAAAGTTGTCTCCAAAGGCAGGAATCCAGAATGAAATGCAATAATCCACTTGCATGGAAAATCTTTTGAAGGCAGTTTTAGCAACTCTGCTACCAGGAGACCTCTGGGAACCAAGGGAAACTATTACCCAGCTTCAGGAACTTTGCTACCAATGGTTGAAGCCACGTGTGAGCACCAACAAGCAGATTTTGAGTTTGCCAGAGCAGTTCTTGTCCATCTTGTCCAAGAAATTCTAGGGCTGGATAAGGAAGAATTGTCATGGTCCAAAGAGTGGGCAAGAAGCCGTGACTTTTCTGGAAGATTTTGAGGGACCTCAATGAACTACAACACAAGGTAGGGAGGAAGATTCGTTAGGAGAAAATGTGTTTGTGGGTTATCCCTGTATTTCCTTGTTTTGTGTTCCCTTGACTTTGGTATAAAATAAGACCTTTCTTCCTAAAAAGAGAGAGAGAGAGAGGAAAAAAAAAAAAAGAACCAAAAGCAAGCAGAAGTAACAATACTTATATTAAAAAAGTTATATGTTCCGCAGGAGAATGTAACAATTATATATGCACCCAACACCAGAGAACCCAAATATATAAGGCAAATATTATTAGATGTAAAGGAAGAGACAGACTCCAATACAATAATAGTTAGAAACTTCACCAACCCCTTCTCAGTACTAGACAGAAAACCAATAAAGAAATATTAGATTTAAATTGCACCATGGATTAAATGGACCTAACAGATATTTACAGTATATTTCATCCAATAAATTCAGAATATACATTTTCTCTTCAATGCATGGAACATTCTCCAGAATAAATTATATTGTAGGACATGAGCCAAGTCTCAAAAAATTTTTAAAAATAAAAATAATATCAAGTATTTTTTTCTGACCATTATGGGAAAAGATTCAAAATCAATAACAAGGAACTTTGGGCACTGTACAAATATAAGAAAATTAAGCAATGCTCTCCTTAATGACCAATGGTTAATAAGGAAATAAAGAAGTTAAAAAGTGTCTGGAGGTACATTAAAATGGAAACATATCAAAACCTATGGATACAGCAAAAAAATATTACTAAGAAGAAAGTTAATAGCAATAAACCCCTATATCAAAATAAATCTTTCAAATAAATAACCTAGTACTTCACTTCAAAGAACTAGAAAATAAAAAACAACTACACCCAAAATTAGTAGAAGGGAATAAATAATAAAGATCAGGGATAAAGTAAACAAAACTGAGACTAAAGAGGTCAGGCAGTGATGCAATGATATTCTGTGAGGCTGATAAGGTTCCAGGTTTGTGTCGAGAGACCTCACTGAGTATACTGGGCATGAATGTGACCATGATACTTGGACTGGCAGAGGCTAAGAGTGGATCACAGTGTCAAGACTCTATTTTGGGGGTGATGTCTTTCTATCTCTATTTCTATTGCCCGTGGAAATAAACTTTTTGCTTAGATTTTGCTATGGGACATATGTGCTTGCAAGAAAGAGGGGGAGAGAGAGAGAGAGGGAGAGAGAGAGAGAAAGAGATAACTCCCTAGGGGGACTAATAACACTGCGTGCACACACATATGCCCAGAGTGTTTCTAACACTACTGGATCCAGGATTCGAACCACATAGTTGGCTGTTTGGAATGGAACCAGCCACCTTAACCACCACGTCATCAGTTAGCTCAAGTTAACTTTTTTTTTTTTTAATGAAACTAAAAAAATACAAAAGATCAACAAAACAAAAGTCAACTTTTTAAAAAGATGTACTGAGTCGACAAGTCATTAGGGTAGAGAGAAAAAGAGAGAAACATTAAAGAGGAGACGTTAAAATTGATACCACAGAAATATGAAAGATCATTGGAGACTATTATGAACTACTATATGCAAACAAATTGGAAGACCTAGAAGAAATGGGTAAGTTTCTAGATGCATAAAACCTACCAAGACTGAACCAAGAAGAAATAAAAGACCTAGATAGACCAACATGGGTAATGAGATTGAATCAGTTATAAAAAGTCTCCCAACAGGGAACCAGCAGTTAGTGTAATGGCTATGTTGCTGGACTCCCACGTAGTCGACTGCGGTTCGCGTCCCGGACCTGGTGGCTTAGATCTAACCCCGGCCGCATGTGCGTGCATGCCCAAGATCCCAAGAGGAGAATGGAGGAGAAAGGATTGCGGCGTGACCATCCCCCCTGGGGGGGTGATTTCTCGCTTTCTGTCTCTCTGTCTCTCTCTGTCTGGTGAGTGCACACGCCCTATAGCGAAAACCTCTCAAAAAAAAAAAAAATCTCCCAACAAAGAGAAGTAAAGAACCAAATGGCTTCACTGCCAAATTTTACAAAACTTTTAAAGAAGTAACACCAATTCTGAAGCAAACGAAAGTCTATGTGCTTTGCACATTACAAACGTGGATTTTTCCATTATTTCCATCCTTCAGTCATTAAGTCAATTTACTTTCAGTGACAAGCCTTAGGATCTATGAAAGCTGTTTATATTATATGTTTTTATCATCAGCTT